AGGACTTACAAACAACCGTTATGTGAACAAAACTATAATACTCTCCTTAGCAACTTTGTTGCGAGAGTATAAAAATAGAAATAATCAATATCAATATAATCAATATATCTTATATATTTAGATTTCTATGAAAATATTATGTCGGGTTATTTACGTTTGGAATGGAAAAGAGAATATTGATGGTTGATGACGGTTTCAGACGTTATTTATTTATATTTGTTATTGTCTTATTAGCACCACTAGAATATTGTTCTAAATTTTCAAGTTGATCCGAGTAAGAGTTTCGGCGATACAGTCCTGAGAACTTGTGCGCTCGAGATTAGCTAGCTTAGCTAGCAGTGCGCCGTCTTTAAACGCGTTTTTCTCGAAACTGGGTTCTTGAAATCGGTTGCTAAGATTTCTCGAGAACTACTCAACCGATCTTCATGAAATTTACATAGGTCTTTGAGATACAATTCTTAAAGAATTGGATGGAGATTTTTTTTTCGATTACAACTTTTTGAAAAAAAACGTCGCGAAATTTTCACTGAAATTTTAATTTTTTTTTTTTTGGAAAAATGTCCCCCAAAAATGCAATTTTCAGTTATTCTTTCCTTACTTCCTGGATAATCTGAAAAATAATTCACACCTGCTTCTAAAATTTTTGACCATACGACATTCTCCTGATATGAAGGGTCAATAAATATGATTTATGTATATTAAAATTTGCCGAAAATTCAATATTTTTGTCGGTCAAAATTTTTTGATCGTTTGTTGAACGAACAGTACGTCTAATTTGGGTGGTGGTTCAACGACCATCACATTCAGTAATAGTTAGTTTTTGTTAACAGAAGTCATTCTTGCATTTTTATCACAATTTTTGTTTTATTAAAAATTTTTCAAAAATATGTTTTTGATTTAATTAAATTACTCTAACCAATGTTAACTTTTAGCATAATTCAAGGCGCCCTGTTAACAGTAGAAATAAACACGATTAGTAAAGCCGCTACTAATACAGTAGATCATTAGTTTTAATTTCTTAAGTTTTCTGTACAATTTATTGAATATTGAAAAGTATTTTGCTTCGACATTTTTTGCAATAATATATTAATGCCTTAAATGCTGCAGCTTGAGAACAGGCGTTTTCTCTTCTTCAGCAAACCAAAGGTTGCTTGTGACTTGACAGATTTATTTTTAATGACAAACAAATATATTGATATATGAAACAATAATATCACTAAACTATCATCAATGMAAACGGTTACAACAACATTGACAATACATGTTTTGACATGATTTTCTTGCCACAAACAACAATTATTGTTTTGTGCGTGCTTTGTGTCAGCGCTGTTATCACTACGCCTATCTTACCTCCGCATTCAAGATCAACTAACTCATTAACAGCTGTGAAGATCAGCTGCAGACCAACAACACCAACATAAATACCTGTGACTGCGGCAATAAAAATAAAATAGTAAATCCATAACAATTGCTGCTTGAGAAATGTTTGTAAACAAAACTTCACTATCTTTATAAACAAATAATATACACATATACATATATATATACTACATATGAATGTAGTATATACATACTATGTATATATAAATATATTTGTATGCAGTCACTATTCGTAAACAACTCAAATCCTAAAATTTACTATAAAAGGTCCTTGCTTTTCTCAGAGTAACATTGGTAGTATTGGAACCGCGCTTTCAACCTCAACAAATCTGAATTCGAAACCAAGGAAAATGGAAAAAATAAGCGCTTTATTTAACATTTTCCTACAAATTTCGCTGACATCGTTTATTGTAAATTTGTACATGCAAATATCAATCGTGCTGCGGAGATTTCGTTCGCTTCGCATAAAGATTTACGTAGCTGAGCTCACACAACGTGATCAAATACTGGAATTAAGTACAAGTGAATTTGAACGTTTCGGTACTTTACCGCTACCAACAGCCCCGGTTTTAACAAGAACTTACTTTGAAACGCCTAAAAGTAGATATCCACTAATGAGACTGCAACATGAATTGTGTAAATTCCGCGGACGACATTGTCAACATTACAGCGGAGTTCGCAGGCGACTCGAATTGTAGAATGTAAACTATTGATAATTTTTATTATATTAGTACTAGACATACATATATGTTAATATATTTAAATGAATATTAGTATTTAAAATTATTGCAATTTTAAATTTTTTTTAATTAAGTAAAGATGTTTAAGACTTCAGATAAAGCTATTCCAAAATTATACAAAAAATTCAAAATTTTTTGTACGAAAGTGTATCTAAAGAACTTAATCCACAAAAAACAAAAATGCATACAAAAAAATATATATAATAAGTTACTGAACAATCTCGAAAAAAAATTCAAATTCTTGAAAATAAACGTAAGACTGACAATGACTAAAATCACTGAAGTTGGCTTGTCAAAAATCAGAACTAAATATAATATCCTTTTCTGTGTAATGATGAATTTTAGCTTTAACAGTTTACATGGGTTTACTCGGGTAAAAAACAGCCTTTTTTCAACAACACTTTTCTCATATAAAAAAAAATATTTTAATACAAATTTTTACTGCTGTAAACATGCACTATTAACAAAAATATTCTGAAATTTAAAAAAAAAACTACTTTAAAATCGGCCATTGCGACGCCATATCCGGTGACCCATGCGCCCATGATGAGCTCGATGACAGGATAACTCTTTACAGGATCATATAAAGTGAAAAATATGTGATTAAGTTTAAACCTTAACATAGAAATTGGATAAAGGAAAAAAAAACGGAAAATTGGATTTTAGGCAATGAAAATTTCGCGATTTTTTTTTTTTCAAATATTTGCGATCGATAAAAATTTCTCCGTCCAAGTCTTTGGGAATTGTATCTCAAAGATCTGAGTAAGATATTTCATGAAGATCGGTTGAGTAGTTCTCGAAAAAACTTGCCCACCGAACCGAACTTTAATCAAACATGCTTTCCTTATTCGAGCTTTAAATCATCCAACCCGTCTTTGGTACCTGAAGAATCCTTTGGAGTAATCGCTCAAAGTCGAGCTGGTCGTAAAGCGTTTGAATATGAAAATATACGAGGCCTTTTCTAAGATCACTGAGATTTCGACTGCATGAAGTTGCTGCGATGATTAAAATGGTTCCTATTCCAGAAAGCTTTATTTAATCATTATTCAAGTAATAATTTTATATGATCATAATTTTTGAGTATTTCCATTCTAGTCGTTCAATAAATTTTACATTGGAACCATACAGTAGCTTTCGGTATCCCAGTCTCAGTAGTGTTTCAAGACCTGAGATATTCTGGAGCATCCATAGCTTTAATGACCGTTCATTAGGTTAGTATCAAATCCAATCAAATCAGAAAAGTTGAAAATTAAAAGTTAATAATAATATATAAGCGCATATCTTTTTATCGTAATATTTTTTATTATTTTTCATGAAGATTATGCAATAAGTGTAAAGAATAGTCTATTTAACGAAATATCTATCTGATTCTATCTGCTCTCTTCGATAATTTTTTCTCCCAAAGGACTCATCTGTTTTCCTGCATGCAATATTTGATTTAAGAAGAAGCAGAATATTAATTTAAATAAGTGAATAGATAATGGGTTTCATTGCGAGTACTTTTCCAGTTGTTATGTGCAAATATCTTCGGTAATTTTTTAGGGCCGATCTCTATTATATCTTTTACTGAGGCAATTCATACTTACTTACTTACTTTATACTTTATAATAAACATTCAATAAAAAAATCCTTCACTTCCTTAATTTCAGGCCGTCTACATGTCCACCACTGTACCGCAGAATATAAAAGGTAGTAAAATCGCCGGCCGACATACTCCAACAAGAAATAGTTTAAGGCACAGTCGCATGCTAGTTGTAAATAATAAAACATATCCAGGTAAGTGGCAAGGTGCTTGTTCTGTCTATAAGTAACACTTGGTAACAAATTAGAAAAAAATTTAAATGCTAACACTTAGCAAAATAGCTTTTGACATGTGGCTTTTAATTTGCGGCGCACTGTACTTAGTTTAATTTGACTTATTCTATATTTTGTAGTACGATTTAGCGTGCGCATTAACCGGTATGTACATATGTGTGTTTACTTATTTAAAACTAATTATATACGCATGACTTTAGAAACAACATGTTAGCTTTAATTGCTACTAGAAAATAAATCCTAATAGCATGTTGCTTATTAATCCTTTTATTACTAATCGACCATTTAATGATAAGCTGTAATGATTGCACTTCATTCTTACATACATTGATACATTTGCATTAGCGATTGCAATAGTTTGTTATGTCTAGAGATGGGAAGGTATCGATAATTATCGAATAGTAGGGGTTTTTGCATCGATTGTATTTTAATTGTAAAACATATTCACAGTCATGCAATATCAGTTAAATTTTTTGTACCTTTTTTGTACCGTATTTTTACCGTATATGGCAAAAAAAAGTATAGAAGTCGAAATCGATAATAATATATGTATATCCAGCCGAAAATGTATGTACCGCATTTTTTCCGAACATGAAAATGCATAACTCAAGACATGCATACATAGGACAATGTGAAATTAACAGTAAATGTTTATTCGTTTCATTTGGATTTGTTGGTTTTGTATCGTATTTGTAACAGCCATAAAAACAGATGACAAAAAACGAGAGTCAAAAAAAAAATATTCAGCTAATAATTTACTTTTGTACGTTGTCTATACCCAACATGATAATGCACAGCTCAAAACGTTAATACAAACTTTAGATTCAATTTTTAGCATAATTTGGATGTACCGTTTTTGTACCGTATTTGTATACGCCGTTAGAAGTGACTACTCAAAGCTGGAAATAAAAAAAAAAACCGCTAAAAAATTTTCTTACGTTTTTGTAACTTATTTATATCTAATATAATAATTCATAGCTCAAGACCTGAGCTTAGATTATAATAGTAATTGTTATATAATTTTTTAAATTATGAAATGCCGATTCTACAATAATTGTACCTTATTGGTTCCAAATACGAGACCTATACAACAGCGTTTGAATCCGTTCCCATCTATAGATATACTTTTACACAAATATACTATACATACATATGAAAACAAGAAGCTTATTAGGCAAACTAACAATTAAGTGTAATCTAATCTATAATAGAGCTCAAACTAACATAAAACACATATGTATCTATAAGCCCATTTGCTTTTGTTGTAATTGCCCTTCCACTTTACTATGATATACTAATTTCATTTCCGTAACGATCTTAATAACTAACAACTATCATTTGATAATCTTCTTACGTCAAGTTCAATATATTTCTGACATATACTGTAGCATGTAATCCCGTAATAATTAACCCTAACAAATCTAGTGGTAATGTAAATAACCAGATTTTGTTGTAGTCAGTCGGTCCATTAGGTCCCCAAGTAAGTGAGCGCGGTTAGTAGACGATAAACTTTTACAGCATACACAACAGATCACTTACTATATATTGGATTTATTTGCATCAGAAATACACTTACATAAAAAAATATATTTGTTTATATATTATCAGCATATATTTTCTATAATGGACCCTTCTTTGTACACAGCCACTCAGTATCCGAATCCAATGAGTTTTAAATATCCGAATCTTGCCCGCTGGTTGCTCATACTGGAGATAATAGTTGGTCTACTAATATCATTCCTAGCAATTTGGATATTCTGTTTGGCACCCAATACGGCCATACAATATAATCCCTATTGGAGCGGTTTAGTGGTGAGTAGCTGCGTATGAAACTTGTTTTACACATACATATAAAAATCTAGATTTAAGAGTTGAAAAGTGGAAAAATTGTCTGTTGTCTTGGATTAAGCGCAGAGAGTTCTAGTTAAATCAGTTGAGTCAAAATACTTTCATGATTTTCGGCCCTGCCTCCGTCAATAAAAAGTGCTTTGAAGTTCCTCTCACAACTTGGTGTAAACTTTCAGATCCGAAAGAGTAAAGGGTCAATTGCCGGCCAGGTCAGGTTCCCGGCCTGATACATAGTAATTTTTAGGAAAAAAATACAGTTGAAGCTTGATAATGAGTTTCCGGATGCCCAAAAGAGGTTGTAACCGACCAAAACATCAAAAAGTCCACAAAACAATTTTAAATGACCGTAAAGTGAAATTGTTTGAGATAGTCGGCACTCTAGCGGTATCAACTCATCATGCATTAAATCTTGCACGAATCATTTTCGCCAAGAAAATGTACCTGGCACTCTAGAGGTATTAACTCATCATACATCATATCTTTCACGAATCTTTTTCACCAGCACAATGTACCTTGTCACAGGTTAGTGAACGCGATGAGAAGAATCCATGAATCGGCCTTCGAATCGCTTCCGCATCCATTCCGTTTTCCTAGATCTGGCCCACAGCGACTATTTCCTGTTCTCTGATATCAAAAAAATGCTCGCTGGGAAGAAATTTCCGATGACAATTGAAGAGGTGATAATCGAAACCCAGGCCTATTTTGAAGCAAAGGACAAATCATACCACAAAAATGATATCGAAAAGTTGGAGGGTTGCAAGAATCAGCATATCACCGTTGAATAAAAAAGAGTTTATTGTGCCTAAAAGGAACCGCAGTCTCTTTAATCCTGGTTCTTCATATAGTGCACCAAATAACTAACCTACCATGTAATTTCATAAGTCGTAACTTTTAAATCTATATAAACGATTTAAAAGAAATTGTATAGCCTTTCCTTCAAAACTAATTATCAGTCATCTAACTTTATTATCGACTGATGGGTCTCAAAATACAAAAACAAAACTTAGGGACCTGAGATTCTGAAGGCATCAGAAGAAACTTAAAGAACATCGTCTTCAAAGTAATTCTCGCAATGTTCCTTACGAATCCGGAATCTAGTATCGATCCACTTTTCAGGTTTCGCAGATGTACCAGCTCACTATACGTTATATGTATAATAAATCTCAAAAAAAAATTATATCGTCTCTCAACTACTTATCTCTGAATTCTTTCCAGCTCCTGCTCGCTGGCATTCTTGGACTTGTGCTTGTACGCTATCAGCGTATTAAACGTCACAAAGTACGCGAGAATTGTTTCAAATTTTTACGCGCCGACTCATACTTGCTGGCACTCCTCGCCGTCCTGCTGTGCTCTGTGGCGATCTTCTGTGCCGCCCTACACTATGCGCGCCTCTGCGCCGACGACACACACTGTGCGCCGACGAATATTTTGCTCGAGCATGGTTCCTGCACGTGCATCTTCAACGCGAACGAAGACGAGCTGACGGCGCCGACGAACAGCAGTGCGGCACAAGTGGCGAACGGTTTGTTGGACGAAGAAGTAGTGCCGGAGCATTTCAATGATCAAAGCTACAAAGTGGAGTATCGGTAAGGGAGCGGGGAGGTTTGAATTTTCAGTTTGTTTACTGTATATACATATTTTTCTTTTGCAGAGACTTGAGCTGCAAAGAGCTGCGCGGCGAGTGGATAACCATACTGATTCTATCGATGGCGCTCAACACTATCGGCTTTCTGCTCGCCTTTGCCTACACAGTGTTGTTGTTTTGCTGTCGTCACAGCGCCAAGCGTCCGTTCTACACCTCCGTCCATACGAGTACCTTTTAGACAAGGATTTGCTGTAGGCTACAAAATGCACTCACACTCACACGCACACCAACACACACACATACACAAATATACCTGTAGTATTTTTAAATGTAGCACTACATACATATTTATTAATATGTAATTTTATTATAAAATTTTAAAAAATTTACTTTTACTGCTGAGCTCATTCTATACAAGCACACACCCGTGCATAAGTCGTTGGCGCTTTGTACTTAATTCGCTTTTAAAACTAAGTTTTAACACTTTAACTTTCAATTTTGTAAAATTTTAATAAGAAAACACGATTTGCATAATTTATAAAAAAATACTTATTTATTTAAATACGATATATGYATATTTATTATTACTGCATTAATGCACTCACATACAAATAATTTTAAAATTATTGATTTCG